CTCGGGCGTCGACCGTCGACGCGAGTCACGATGACAGCTGGGTTTCGGAAACGGGCCTCGGGAAAGAACTAATTACGGGCCTGCCATTGAAAATATCTAGTTGACGGCCTATCTGTTAGGCTTGACGTGTCAGATATCTCTATATAAAAGCGAAGGGCTTTTTTACATATGCTTCCCTAAAACCTGTTTATTTACATCGACTCTTGAATAATCGCACAAACTCGATATGAACGAGGAAACTTTTCTCAACTTTTACTGTGTGTCACAAAACTTCATTTAGGGTTGTTAGTCAATTGGGACATTTTCATGCAAAATGGGATAATTATTAAAGTAAAATAATTTTTTGCTAGTGAGATATTTTAGTGGGATAAATAGGAACAATTTTGTAAAGCAGGATATTTTGATAAAATAATGTGTGATAAATTTTTATGATCATGAAATATATATTTATGCATTTTGAGATATAAATATTATTTATGTATTTTAAACTTATTATTATTGATTGATAATTGCTTACAAGAATGTTCTTTACTATTAAATAACTTTTGGTCAGACTATAAGATATTGACAATTATTATTATAATGATGGTCTAATGATGATTATAACCATAATAGGAAAGAAATAATGAAAAAAATATAAACAATAAAAAATAACAAAATAAATATGAGTTCTAATCTTTTACCACCTAGTTCTAAGATAAAACTTGGAATAATTTGAGAGACTAAAACTCTCATTTTTTGTATAGAAAAATAAAAAAAAGTGGGATATTTTTATAGTGTTATCTCAATTCTAGTTTTGTTAGAGTTCTACTTGACTAACACTGTAAAATTTTATTCTATTTTTAGTTCTATGTGACTAACACATTAAAAAATTTATCCCACAGATTATCCTAGTTCTAATTTTAAGTTCTAGGTGACTAACCCCCCTTTAGGGGGTTATTGATTGGTGTAATTTTGGGTTAAGTGGGATAATTTTTGGGATTTTACTTTATAATATTATTCATTGGGACAATGGATTTGGGATTTCATTTTAAGGTGTTATTCATTGGTACAATGAGATTAGGATAATTACCCTCACTTTTTCTAAAATTATCTTATTTTCATACAAACTTTTTGTCCCAACCTCCAAAAATTACCACATTCTTTACTTTGGGACAATCAAGAGGAAAGTGTGATACTTTTGAAGCACTAATTTATTAAATATCTAATGTATATTAATTGCATTATAATATATCTTAATTATATTATATTACAAAATTCTATTATAACGTAAGATAATAAAATATTATATAATATTATCTGATATAACATTATTATATATCATTATTACATATTGGTTAATAATATTTCATATATTATAATATTAGTATTATATTATTATAATATTACTTTATTTTATTTAGTATATATTTTATTAGTTAGAATAAAAATATTATTGAAATATTTTTATGATATAAAATATTATATTATAATATAGTGTTTATATATTTAATATAATAATATATTAATTATTGTTTGCGTCAAAAGTCAACTTTGTTATGGAATTCATTATATCTTCGGTCGATTACAACAAATTCAAAAGAAATAGTCTTTTTATAAGACTTCTTTTACATAACAAAATGAAAATTACAACTCTTGAGAAACAAACGCAGGATCGTTGTTTGGATCGCTGCTTGCGTGGGATCTTTGCCTGTGCCGGGAGCGCTTTGACTCGTGGACCACCGAATCACAGATTCTGATTGAACCGTGAGGGGTTTAATGATTCTTCCTTCGTTTATCGAAGTAAGAATTTGAAGCGAATATCTTATCGATGTAAGATGTTCACTCTTCTAAAGATCAAGTCAGAGCTTAGATCTCTAGGAATCGCCAGAAACTTCTTGAGGATGTTTGTGAAGAAGGAAGACTCTCTTTCTTGCTCTAATTCACCAAAACTCAAGGCTCTCTGCTCTAATCTGCCCTGGAAATGCTCTCTCTCCTGTCAATGATGGCCATAGGGGGGTATTTATAGCCTCCTTAGACGATAACTGAAGAAATAGCCGATCAACAACTGCCTCTTTAGGCGCGGCAGTTGATGCTGTCGCGGCTAAAGGGCGCGACAGTCGACAATGTCGCGGCCAAAGGGCGCGGCAGTCGACACTGCCGCGGCTAAAGGGGCAGTTACACCCACGTTCATACGTGTTTGAAACAGTTCTCCCACGACCTTTAACCACCTTTTTCGTGGTTTAACTGCTTGTCCACGTCAGCACACATTCTATTTCTGATACGCCACCACGTAGACTTCAAAACATCATCGAATAACTACCTTATAACTGCCACAGCATCCTTCTTTAACTGCCGCGGCACCATAGGTTGCAGCGGTTAAGCCGCGGCACCATAGGCTG